GATGGGTATGGGGTGCATAATAAAGAAAGAAATTGAATTGAACGACAAACATTAAACCAAACTCTTTTCTTGAATGTTTGAATGGAAGAGTTTCTCATTCAATTTAGATTAAAACAAGGGAGATATACTCAGGCATTTCTAAGGGCGTTCCCAATGACTTGAGTAATGAGGTTATTGCATCGTCAAATACATTTAAAATCTCTGTCGGATTAACTAATTTAATTGTGCAAACTATTCATGACAACATATATTACTAAATATGGATATGTCTCAAAAGAAAATTGCAAGTTAATTTGAATTTTTGGGGGGATCCGTCAATTTAACAATTAGCATTTAGTTCTCATATTTTAACTACTATTTCCCAATTAGACCCAATTAACAATTGATTACATCACTAGACATCTATATTAAATTTATTACCGTGTTCAGGCTATCTACTCACACCGTAATACTTCTCAGTCTATCCACTCACACTGTAATACTTCTCAGTCTATCCACTCACACTGTAATACTTCTCAGTCTATCCACTCACACCGTAATACTTCTCAGTCTATCCACTCACACTGTAATACTTCTCAGTCTATCCACTCACACTGTAATACTTATCAGTCTATCCACTCACACCGTAATACTTCTCAGTCTATCCACTCACGCTGTAATACTTCTCAGTCTATCCACTCACACTGTAATACTTATCAGTCTATCCACTCACACCGTAATACTTCTCAGTCTATCCACTCACACTGTAATACTTATCAGTCTATCCACTCACACCGTAATACTTCTCAGTCTATCCACTCACACTGTAATACTTCTCAGTCTATCCACTCACACCGTAATACTTCTCAGTCTATCCACTCACACTGTAATACTTCTCAGTCTATCCACTCACACCGTAATACTTCTCAGTCTATCCACTCACACCGTAATACTTCTCAGTCTATCCACCAATACCGCCCCCCTCAGTTTTTTCACTTACATATTAATACTTCTCCCAGTCTATCGCCTCTCACAGAATTATTTCTCGCACACACACATTAATACTTCTCACAGTCTGCCCACTCACAGAGACATACTTCCCCTAGTATATCCACTCACATAGAAATACTTCCCCTAGTATATCTACTCACACAGAAATACTTCCCCTAGTATATCTACTCACACAGAAATACTTCCCCTAGTATATCTACTCACACAGAAATACTTCCCCTAGTATATCCACTCACACAGAATAGAGGTCTCGTCTCGTAGCCTGGTGGATAGCGCGCAGGACTCGTAATTCTGTGGCGCGGGTTCGATTCCCGCACGAGGCAGAAACAAATGGGCAAAGTTTCTTTCACCCTGAACGCCCCTGTTACCTAGCAGTAAATAGGTACCTGGGAGTTAGTCAGCTGTCACGGGCTGCTTCCTGGGGGTGGAGGCCTGGTCAAGGACCGGGCCGCGGGGACACTAAAAGCCCCGAAATCAACTCAAGATAACCTCAAGATAACACAGAAATACTTCGCCTAGTATACCCACTCACACAGAAATACTTCGCCTAGTATATCTACTCACACAGAAATACTTCGCCTAGTATACCCACTCACACAGAAATACTTCGCCTAGTATACCCACTCACACAGAAATACTTCGCCTAGTATATCCACTCACACAGAAATACTTCGCCTAGTATATCCACTCACACAAAAATAATTATCCCACATTATCCATTCACTCCTTTTTCAAGTATGTTTTCCCCCACAGTACCTACTTCTTTACTTTTTCAAGTAAAGAAGTAGATACTTTCCTCAAAGTACCTACTTCTGTAATGCTTCTCACCTTTCATAATGATACTTCTCCCAGCCTGTCCCCCTTGCTTAATAATACTTATCCCAGCCTGTCCACTCACATAATAATTTTTCTCACAGTTTATACCCAGTTACAATAATACTTCTCACAGTCTCTCCACTCAGTAATACTCTGTCCACTCAGTCTGTCTATTCTCACAGTAATAATCCTTTAGAATATCCACTAAAAGAGTAATACTTCTCGCAGTCTGTTCACTCAAACTACAATATTTCTCACTTTCCCTTCCTCTCACACATTAATACTTATCCCAGTCTTCCCCCTCCCCCCCCCCCTTTACGCTGTAATACTTGTTTCAGTCTGTTAATTACCACAGTAACACTTCTCTTGGTCTATTTCTATTCACTCAGCAATACTTGTATAATTTTGTCTCCTCATAGAATAATACTTCTCCAAGCCGATTAATTTTCAGTTATACTCCTCACAATCTATCTCCTCATATTAATAATTTTCCAATTCCGACCAGTTACATTGTAATACTTCTCCTTGTATGTCCCTTACCATATTAATACTTCTTCCAGTTTGTCCAGTCACAAAGTAATACTTCTCAGTGTGTTCCAGCATATGGTAATACTTATCGACATCTGTCTGCTTACAGTGTAATACCCAGCTGTCCTCCTCTCACAGTAATACTGCTCGAGTTTGTCAGTTAACACCGTTATATTACTCCCAGTCTGTCCTATCACCCAGTAATACTTCTCCCAATATGTTCACCTACAGAGTAATAGGTCATCAAGTACCTTACATAGTACCTTATAGTACATAGTACATAGTAATTAGTACATAGTAATTAGTACCTTACATAGCTTCTGCTCTCATAAATTAATACCTCACAATTTCTACACCCATAAATTAGTACCTCACATAGCTTCTGCTCTCATAAATGAATACCTCACACAGCCTGTACTCTCATATCCAGGAAACTCTGACTATTCACCTCGGCCGGCTGCCTCAGACACTGAATTATATTCGCGTATTAAACGTAGAGAAACTAGTTAGATGGTCACATTAACCGCCAGAGTTCCCGCGAACCTCAGCTTGGTCTTCGTCAGCTGCATAACCTTCACAGACGTTTATTTCGTTTAACTTTATGAGACCTGACTTGAGTTTTGTTACTTTCTTCAGCTGAATTATCTCCCATTAACTTTATTTCGTTTAAGTTTACGAGATCTTACTGGAAAATCTTTCAATTTAATTTTGTATACTGTATGCAAATGGGCTTAACTTGTCGGGGGGACCTTTGTAGAGTTTAACTGAGGCTTTCAGCTGGTTCTCTTGGGCCCCGGTCTTTTGTGCAGGTTCAAGGCTCTAAGTAATTTTTGAGGTTCGTGATTCAATCTGGGCCATTGTAAATGTCTTCATTATTCTTGGATATATTAACTGTCTCTCTGTCTCTCTCTCTCATTCTCTTTTTCTGTCTCTCTCTCTTCTCTGTCTCCGTCTCTGTCTGTCTCTCTTTGTCTCCGTCTCTGTCTGTCTCTCTCTCTCATTCTCTTTTTCTGTCTCTCTCTCTTTGTCTCCGTCTCTGTCTCTCTCTCTCTCTCTCTCTCTCTCTCTCTCTCTCTCTCTCTCTCTCTCTCTCTCTCTCTCTCTCTCTCTCCCCCCTTCATATATTGGATCCAATTACCCATCGTCCTGCCTTCCGCTGCCCAGATCTCTTTCATGCCCAGCTTCCCTCATGCGTATTAAAGGGACGCTCTCTTCCTCCCCCCTTCTCTTACCCTTCTCTTTCATCTTCCCCCTCGGTAGGAGCCCGCCCGGCATAATGCATGACCCACCAGACTGTTGCTATACCTGTTGTGCACGATACTGCCCATGAACGTGATGAAGGTGATCTATTCTATGTACATGTTGTATATGGAAATATATATCATATTCTTCATGTTCGTGGGAGTGTACACATGGAAGATCAGAAACGTTCGTGGGAGTGTACACATGGAAGATCAGAAACGTTCGTGGGAGCGTACACATGGAAGATCAGAAACGTTCGTGGGAGTGTACACATGGAAGATCAGAAACGTTCGTGGGAGTGTACACATGGAAGATCAGAAACGTTCGTGGGAATGTACACATGGAAGATCAGAAACGTTCGTGGGAATGTACACATGGAAGATCAGAAACGTTCGTGGGAATGTACACATGGAAGATCAGAAACGTTCGTGGGAGTGTACACATGGAAGATCAGAAACGTTCGTGGGAGTGTACACATGGAAGATCAGAAACGTTCGTGGGAGTGTACACATGGAAGATCAGAAACGTTCGTGGGAGTGTACACATGGAAGACTAATAACGTACATGTGTACTACTAATACGAACAACGTACATGAATTTGTAGAAGTAAATAATGTACATGACTGTGTACATATTAGAAAGACAATTACGTACATGTATGTGCAAACTAGGTGGAATAATTACGTACATGAGAGTGTACACAATGATCATCAATAACGTACATTGATGATTACGTGACAGTGTGTACACTAGGAACACAAAATAACGTACATGGTTGTGTACACCATGAACACCAAGGAACATAAACTGGTGTACATGTGTGTGTACAACATAAACAGGTGTACATGTGTGTGTACAACATAAACAGGTGTACATGTGTGTGTGTGTACAATATTCACAGTTGTGCATGTGTGTGTACAACATACCCAAGTGTACATATGTGTGTGTACAACATACCCAAGTGTACATGTGTGTGTGTACAACATACCCAGGTGTACATGTGCGTGTACAACATACCCAAGTGTACATATGTGTGTGTACAACATACTCAGGTGTACATGTGCGTGTGTGTACCACATGCCCAGGTGTACATGTGGGTGTACAACATACCCAGGTGTACATGTGTGTGTACAACATACTCAGGTGTACATGTGCGTGTGTGTACCACATACCTAGGTGTACATGTGTGTGTATAACATACCCAGGTGTACATGTGGGTATACAACATACCCAGATGTACATGTGCGTGTACAACATACCCAGATGTACATGTGTGTGAACAATATACACCCAGGTGTACATGTGTGTGTACAACATACCCAGGTGTACATATGTGGGTGTACAACATACCCAGGTGTACATGTGGGTGTACAACATACGCAGGTGTACATGTGTGTGTACAACAGGTGTACATATCAACTCACGTTCAGTAGCCAGGTGATATTGTAGACAGGTGGGTCAGCCGTGACGTCACAGAGGAAGGTAAGGCTCTCTCCCTCCTCCACGTCACGCCCACCGCCCACACCCGCACGCCCACCCTCCGCCCGCAGCCTCGACTCCGGCACATCTGCTGGGCACAGGTGTAACACGTGTTAGTGGGACACATGGGGCGTAGTTGCTAGTGGGACACATGGGGCGTAGTTGTTAGTGGGACACATGGGGCGTAGTTGCTAGTGGGACACATGGGGCGTAGTTGTTAGTGGGACACATGGGCGTAGTTGATAGTGGGACACATGGGGCGTAGTTGTTAGTGGGACACATGGGCGTAGTTGTTAGTGGGACACATGGGCGTAGTTGTTAGTGGGACACATGGGGCGTAGTCGTTAGTGGGACACATGGGGCGTAGTTGTCAGTGGGACACATGGGGCGTAGTTGTTAGTGGGACACATGGGGCGTAGTTGCTAGTGGGACACATGGGCGTAGTTGTTAGTGGGACACATGGGCGTAGTTGTTAGTGGGACACATGGGCGTAGTTGTTAGTGGGACACATGGGCGTAGTTGTTAGCTGGACACATGGGGCGTAGTCGTTAGTGGGACACATGGGGCGTAGTTGTTAGTGGGACACATGGGGCGTAGTTGTTAGTGGGACACATGGGGCGTAGTCGTTAGTGGGACACATGGGGCGTAGTTGTTAGTGGGACACATGGGGCGTAGTTGTTAGTGGGACACATGGGGCGTAGTTGCTAGTGGGACACATGGGGCGTAGTTGTTAGTGGGACACATGGGCGTAGTTGATAGTGGGACACATGGGGCGTAGTTGTTAGTGGGACACATGGGCGTAGTTGTTAGTGGGACACATGGGCGTAGTTGTTAGTGGGACACATGGGGCGTAGTCGTTAGTGGGACACATGGGGCGTAGTTGTCAGTGGGACACATGGGGCGTAGTTGTTAGTGGGACACATGGGGCGTAGTTGCTAGTGGGACACATGGGCGTAGTTGTTAGTGGGACACATGGGCGTAGTTGTTAGTGGGACACATGGGCGTAGTTGTTAGTGGGACACATGGGCGTAGTTGTTAGCTGGACACATGGGGCATAGTCGTTAGTGGGACACATGGGGCGTAGTTGTTAGTGGGACACATGGGGCGTAGTTGTTAGTGGGACACATGGGGCGTAATTGTTAGTGGGACACATGGGGCGTAGTTGTTAGTGGGACACATGGGCGTAGTTGTTAGTGGGACACATGGGCGTAGTTGTTAGTGGGACACATGGGCGTAGTTGTTAGTGGGACACATGGGGCGTAGTCGTTAGTGGGACACATGGGGCGTAGTTGTTAGTGGGACACATGGGGCGTAGTTGTTAGTGGGACACATGGGGCGTAGTTGTTAGTGGGACACATGGGGCGTAGCTGTTAGTGGGACACATGGGGCGTAGCTGTTAGTGGGACACATGGGCGTAGTTGTTAGTGGGACACATGGGGCGTAGCTGTTAGTGGGACACATGGGCGTAGTTGTTAGTGGGACACATGGGGCGTAGCTGTTAGTGGGACACATGGGGCGTAGCTGTTAGTGGGACACATGGGCGTAGTTGTTAGTGGGACACATGGGGCGTAGCTGTTAGTGGGACACATGAGCGTAGTTGTTAGTGGGACACATGGGGCGTAGCTGTTAGTGGGACACATGGGCGTAGTTGTTAGTGGGACACATAGGCTTATGCAGATGTTAATACACATTAGGATGCTTTAGGTGTTGGGATATGAAGGAATATACATGTTGATGGATACATAGTACGGCCATTTGAAGGATACATATTGCTGAATCAAACATGCAACATATGTATTTATTTGTAGAATACAGAGCACCACTATATCGCGCTTCATAAAACATGTGTTATGGAGTGCATATCGCAGGTGTTCTGGGATACAGGTGTCCAGACACACACACTGCTAATCAGGAAACACACACCCAGTATAACATTCATATACATTATAAATGATTATAGTTACAAGTACATTATTGATTACATTACTTCAGTTTTGATAGCTACAGCAGCCTTCACATTAGCTACAGCAGCCTTCACATTAGCTACAGCAGCCTTCACATTAGCTACAGCAGCCTTCACATTAGCTACAGCAGCCTTCACATTAGCTACAGCAGCCTTCACATTAGCTACAGCAGCCTTCACATTAGCTACAGCAGCCTTCACATTAGCTACAGCAACCTTCACATTAGCTACAGCAGCCTTCACATTAGCTACAGCAGCCTTCACATTAGCTACAGCAGCCTTCACATTAGCTACAGCAGCCTTCACATTAGCTACAGCAGCCTTCACATTAGCTACAGCAGCCTTCACATTAGCTACAGCAGCCTTCACATTAGCTACAGCAGCCTTCACATTAGCTACAGCAGCCTTCACATTAGCTACAGCAGCCTTCACATTAGCTACAGCAGCCTTCACATTAGCTACAGCAACCTTCACATTAGCTACAGCAGCCTTCACATTAGCTACAGCAGCCTTCACATTAGCTACAGCAGCCTTCACATTAGCTACAGCAGCCTTCACATTAGCTACAGCAGCCTTCACATTAGCTACAGCAGCCTTCACATTAGCTACAGCAGCCTTCACATTAGCTACAGCAGCCTTCACATTAATGTGAACGCAGCGTCAGGGTAACGAGGGAGACAAATAGTTAAACAACAGCACAGAAGATAAGGGAACGTAATATGAACATACAAGAACGTAAGATGGTCATAAGAGAAGATAAGATGATGATAAGAGAAGGCAAGAGAACATATACCCACCGAACTCACTCATGTATATGACTAACCTAACCTGATTCTTGCTTTCAGTATATTTATCTATAAGACAGAATGTCTGTCTGTCTGTTTGTCTCACTGTCTGTCTGTCCAAAGTTGGAGGCCAGACGCTTGGGTCTAGCCTCCCCCAAATTAGCAGGGGGAATGGTCAGGGGGACGGGATAAACATAGGCTTGTCAAGATCGTCAGAATTTAAAAGGGTCACATTCAGACCACCACGATAATTTTAAACTCTGCCCGCCGGCTACTCTGCAACATATTATGAAAACAAACATTGCCAAATTGTTTTTTGTCTTATATTAGTATACAACATTATTCAGTGATTGTGGGGAAAATTAACATAAATTTCCTGTTATCCATACTTTGCCCGTAGTGGCATAAAACAGACACTCCCGCCACACCTTCAAATGTTTCTCAAGCCACGCACGTGTCTCAGAGTAAAGGAGCAACAATACTATTTAGTTTGTGGTTCACACCGCTAAGCTTCTGCTACTGGCGACCACCCACACAAGACAATTTTATTTTATATAAGAGAGAGACAGACAGAGATTGAGACAAAGAGATAGACATAATCACAGACAGACAGACAGACAGACAGACAGACAGACAGACAGACAGTCATAAACAAAGACTAAAACAGAGAAACATAGACAGAGGTACTCAGAAACACAGAGACAAACAAAAAGAGAGAGACAGACTAGATAGATGGATGGATATATATATAGATGGATATTTAGATGGATGGATATATAGATGGATGGATATTTAGATGGATGGATATATAGATGGATGGATAGATAAATAAATATATTAATAGATGAATAAATAAGTTAATAGATGGATAGATGAACAGATAGATTGATGGATAAATGGATAGATAGATGGATAAATGGATAGATAGATGGATAAATGAATAGATAGATGAATGAACAGTGTGAGTGGTGTGGAATTGACATTGGCTTGCGTGTGCAAAGCGTTGTGCATGATAAGAGCAATGGATTGGATTCCTCGTCTCGGGCACTCAGGAGCACAGTTCTTTAAATGCTATTGCAGGCAGGTAGGATGACTGTGGCTGCTGTCATGGGATAGGGCACCACGTGACCAGGTCAGTGATGCTACTCCATCATCTGAATACATGTGTTCAAGATTGAGGCAGAAGAACTTTAATACTTCCCTTTGCTCTAATGTGACGACCTCCTGGAATTTCTTATTGAGTTCCTCGCACACTTCCTTGTCATTTGTAGTGAGTGCAGAGGTGCAATGGAGAGAGAGAGGTGTGAACTCGTTTATCTCTCTCCTGGGGACCTCCTGTGACCTGGGGCAAGAGGTCAGGTCACCCTGATTGTATTCTCTCAGTGCAGACTAGTGTATGTATATATATACATATATATATATATATATATATATATATATATATATATATATATATATATATATATATATATATATATATATATATATACATATATATATATATATATATATATATATATATATATATATATATATATATATATATATATATATATATATATATATATATATATATATGTGTGTGTGTAACTAAAAACTTCACACCCCAGCAGGATTCGAACCCAGACAGCCAGCAGCACTATGCACCTTGGCGTACCTGGTTCCTTAACCACTCGACCACCGTGACTGTACAAAAGACATTGGTAGCCGAGGCTATATCCCCAACAACCCGATTGCACTTGGTAGTAAGCTTGGGCAAAGATATTTCATCGAATCACCTCACTTTGTCGGGCCACGTGAGCAACACAAATATGAACGAGCTTGAATGGTCACCAAGCCAATATGCAACTGAAAACTCCACACCCCAGAAGGATTGGAACCCAGACAGCCACGTGCTTTTGGGTCATTGGGGATATAGCCTCGGCTACCAATGACTTTTGTGCAGTCACGGTGGTCGAGTGGTTAAGGAACCAGGTATACTATGGAGCATAGTGCTCCTGGCTGTCTGAGTTCGAAACCTTCTGGGGGGTGGAGTTTTCAGTTGCATATTGGCTTGGGGACCATTCAAACTCGTTTGCATATATATGTGTGTGTGTGTGTGTACACTCATCTATTTATCTATTTGTACTAACCAATTTTTGCTTGCAGGATCGAGCATTGACTCTTAGATCCCACCTTTCATCGGTTGTTTACAGCAATGACTCCTGTCCCATTTCCCTATCATATCTAGTTTTAAAATTATGAATAGAATTTGCTTCCACAACCTGTTCCCCAAGTGCATTCCAATTTTCCAATACTCTCACGCTAAAAGAATACTTCCTAACATCTCTGTGACTCATC